GTGCACGCTATACGGGGCCCGGATCCAGCAGAGGTGCAGGGCTCCAAGAGGTGACGTCCAGAGGGCACCATAGAGAGGCAAGACAGCCTGGGATGGCTCCAGGAGCAGCCCAGAACGGCCCACAAGAGCCCCGATCACCACAACAACAGCTTAACAGTTCTTCCAGAGAGGCCCAGGACGGCCCACGGGAGCCCCAAGAGGGTTCAAAAGGCAGCCAAGACAACCCAGCACGGCCCCGATTGCTGCCCAAAGCGGCCAAAATTGTCCCCGAAGCGCCTCAGATTACCCAAAAGGGTTTTCAAGGAGGCCCAGCGCGCCCCCCCGGGGAGGTGGCGGGGGGCGGGAGGGGCGGGGGGGCAGGTGCACGCTACGTGGGCCCAGTCTCCAGCAGAGGGGGGGGGGGGGCAGGACGGTTCAGGGCTCTAAGAGGTGACGTCCAGAGGACCCCATACAGTCGGGGCGCTGAAGAAGGAACCCTTTTCGTTGGGGAGGGGCTCGGTGTTCCTTGATTGTTTCAAAGTTTGCCTCGGGTTTTCCTGAAGTTTTCCATCGGAAATCGAGGTTGAACTTATTGGAAAAAGGGGCCTCGTTCCTTATTTAGGGTTCCTTAGGTCAACGCCCCGGCTGTAGAGTTGTAAGACAGCCTGGAATGGCTCCACAAGCAGCCCAGAACGGCCCACGAGAGCCCCGAGCACCACAAAGTCAGCCCAGCAAGGCTCCCAGAGAGGTCCATGACGACACAAGGGAGCCCCCAAAAGACCCAAAAGGTCGCCCAGACAGTCTAGCATGGCCTCGATTGCTGCCCCAAACGGGCCAAAATGGCGCCCAAGATTGTCCAAGAGGGTTTGTTTTCAGGGAGGCCCAGCGCGACCCCCATGGGGGGGGAGGGGCGGGGGGCAGGTGCACGCTATACGGGCTCCAGCTTCAGCAGGGGGGGCAGGACGGCTCAGGGCTCCAAGAGGTGGTGTCCATAGGGCTCCATAGAGTTGTAAGGCAGCCTGGGATAGCTCCATGAGCAGCCCAGAACGGCCCACGAGAGCCCCGAGCACCACAAAAACAGCCTAACTGGGCTTCCAGAGAGGCCCAGGACGGCCCAACGGAGCCCCAAGAAGGCCTAAAAGGCCGCCCAGACAGCCCAGCATGGCCCCGATTGCTGCCTCAAGCTGGCCAATATGGGCCCCCCAGGCGCCCAAGATCGCCCAGGAGGGCCTGCAGGGGTGCTCAGCGCGACGCGAGGGGGACGGGAGGGGCGAGGGGGCAAGGTGCACGCTATACGGGCCCCAGTTCCAGCAGGGGGCAGGACGGCTCAGGGCTACAAGAGGTGACGTCCAGAGGGCCCCATTGAGTTGTAAGGCAGCCTGGGGTGGCTCCATGAGCAGCCCAGAACGGCCCACAAGAGCCCCGAGCACCACAGAGACAGCCCAGCAGGGCCCCCAGAGAGGCCCAGGACGGCCCACGGGAGCCCCCAAGAAGGCCCAAAAGGCCGCCAAGACAGCCCAGCATGGCCCCTACCCCAGGGAAAGCGGGAGGGGTAGGGGGCACGTTACACGGGCCCCGGCTCCAGAAGGGGGGGCAGGACAGCTCAGGGCTCCAAGAGGTGACGTCCAGAGGGCCCCATAGAGTTGCAAGACAGCATGGGATGGCTCCAGGAGCAGCCCAGAACGGCCCAGGAGGGCCCCGAGCGCCACAGAGACAACCCAACAGGGCTTCCAGAGAGGTCCAGGACAGCCCAAGGGACTGCTGAACCAGATCGACATTCTGAAATCACAGGTACACTCTAAACGTTGTTTTTATTTGTTTCAAGTCTCCGACGTGCGCTCTAAACGTTTTTTTCTCACGTCGGACGGGCCCCTACTTACCTAGTAGGAGGAGGAGGAGGAAGAGGAGGAGGAGGAGCAGGAGGAGGAGGAGGAGGAGGAGCAGGAGCAGGAGCAGGAGGAGGAGGAGGAGGAGGAGGAGGAGGAGGAGGAGGAGGAGGAGGAGGATGGGGAGGAAGAAGAGGAGGGGGAGGAAGAGGAGGAGCAGGGGGAGGGGGAGGAGGGGGGGGGGGAGGGGAGGAGGAAGAGGAGGAGAAGGATGAGGAGGGGGAGGAGAAGGAAGATGAGGCGGAGAAGGAAGAGGACGAGTAGGAGAAGAAGGAGGCGGCAGAATTGACTCGGGCAGGCGGAGGCCGAAAGGCCGAAAACGCCTGCTGAAAACACAGGTTCGCACTATACGTTGGTTGCCGTGCATTCTATACGTTTTTTTTTAGCCACTTCCGACGTGCACGCTAAACGCCCATAGAAACGCGTATATATTGCACGCACTTTTTGAAGTACATTCTTAACGACCCCCGATGAGATTAGATTGCACTTCAAAGTCCGCGTGTGCACGCCATGTGTGGCAACTGGACCCTAGGAGGAGGAGGAGGAGCAGGAGGAGGAGGAGTAGGAGGAGGAGGGTGAGGAGGAGGAGGATGAAGACAACTAAGACGAATACGAACAATGAAACGAATCGTGGGAAAACAATACCATTACTCAAACTAATCACACTACTGATACTAATCCTAAGAAGCATACGTGTCATATTAATACGTATAATGTTAGTAAGAATAATCATACCACATAGTATTATTAGTACGACTAAGAACAATACTGCGAATCTGAATCATACAAATCACACTAGCACTACTAATAACAATGATGACACTACTATGAAGACTAATGGTAATAATAATACTGCTAATGCGAACAAGAAAAACAATAATAATACCAATAATACGAATGCTAAGAATAACATTTAGATGAAGAAGAGGAAGAAGAGGATGTGGAGGAGGAGGTGGAACAATATAGGATCTGGGGATTTAGGATGGAGGTGCATCGAAGAGACGGACAATGGGACTGATAAGTTGTAATAGATGAGGATGTGTCATCTAGTAGCGGGGGAGAAAGAGGAGGCATGAAGTGGAAGAGGCCACCCAGATGTGAGAACGGATGCGAGTACGTGTCATGACATGGCCCGAATTTAGCCAGAATGCGCGTGACAAGTACTCCCTGAGGCTCAGCCTCTTCCTGCGTGTACCGGTCTTCTTCAAGCATTGAGGTTTGCTATCCGCCTGATGGCCTTGATCTGGCTGCTTACCTTTTCGGGGTAGGGAACCCAGACTAGAAACATAATGCAGTGCTCCAGGTTTGGTTGGGGAAATCCCCCTCGAGGGCAAGATTTTAGCAAGCTTAGATCGCACCATTCTTGGTCTGGTTAACATTTCTCTCCTCCTTAACCTTCTGAGTGCTTCGGTCGACCTGCGCCACTCCAACTCGTAACGTTCCCGCTGCTCATCTGCCCTGCTCTTCCTCGTGTCCACGTTGCGTTTTAGAAAGCTTCCTCGTGCTGGTGCAGGCGCGACAGCGGCGACGGCGGCGGCCACGACGATCCAAATTTTTGCCAAGTTGCGAAGGTGGGGAACATCCTCCTGGTCAGGGGCTGGACGTCGCTCTTCAGATACCATCGCGAACTTGACACCCTAAGGAGACTCGTGTACAGGTTCCAGGGTAAAGTAACGATGATGGAGCTCTCGAAGGGCATGACGAAGTTCAAGCTCGCCTACAAAAAGAGAAGACAGGACGAGGAACTCAAGGAGCAGCAGCAGCAGTGGGCGGCGCAGCTGCTCGCAGACAAGCTGCAGCGGGTGAAGGCCGTGACGACGTTACGCGATCCCAGGGGCGTGCGGCACGACGTTGTCTCCTCTGTCCAGTCGAGGTTCCGGGTGTACAGGCAGACCAAGATGGCGGACCGCGAGTACCCGCTCGGCACCTCCGTGCAGAGCCGGGTGCAGCAGGCCCTGACCGGCAAAGTGGTCGGCGCGGCCTTCAAGTCCCTCAAGAGCGTCGAGGCGCTCACGCTGATCCTGAACAAGGAGACGGAGAGGCAGATCCGAGGCGTGGAGTCCCAGATGAAGGGGAAGCTCAAGACGTACTCCGAGGAGGGGAGGCGGGCGTGGTGGCTGCTGGCTCGGGCTTCGCCAGAGGTGTCCCTGGCCCAGGGTGTCCCCAGGTTGTCCAGGGAGGCCCCTGCGGCCTCCACAGAACCCCGCGACGACGACGACGACGAGGACGACGACGACGAGGACGACGACGACGAGGACGACGAGGACGACGAAGACGAGGAGGAGGAGGAGGAGGAGGAGGAGGAGGATGGCACTGACGAGGAGGACGATGACGACGACGACGAGGACGACGACGACGACGACGAGGACGAGGAGGGCTTCCAGCCGGGGGGCGGGGGTGGGGGCTGGGGCTGGCCATGTCTCGGGGGGCGCGGGCGGTCCGGGTGGAGCGACCCCCCTGCTGGGGCTGGTCCTGGGCCCCAGGGGGCCCGCGCGGAGCCCGCTCGAGGGGCGGGGCGTCTAGCGCCCCTCGGGACCCCGGAGAGCGGATCGTTGCGTGGTTGGTGGGCCAAGTTTCCACCACCACTGCCACACCGGTAGGGCGGGGGAGACGGGAGGATGGGGGGGTCCTCCTCCTCCTCCTCCTCCTCCTCCGCCTCCTCCTCCTCCTCCTCCTCTTCCCACTTGTGCCTATGGACGTGGTGGTGGAAAATCGGCACATCAGTGATGCCCGACCTCGAGCCAGGTCGTTTTTGGAGGTCGCCGCGGCGATCGCGGCGGCTACATATCGAAAGACTGCTTTTTTCAGGGAGTGGCGTGCCCCTTCCAAGCCCCCCCCCCCTGCTCTGCGATGTAGACGTGGCTCCTGATTATCAATTGGTTCGACAGAGAGTTGTCGTTCTATGTCCAACATGGCCAGTCATGTTTTTTTTGTTAGGGTTCGATGATCACGCAGCCAGCGGAGATCGTTCAAGGTCGAGCGGCTCGCGTGGTGTCAGACACCCGGGCTCACGTCGTTAAGTCGGGAACCTGCCGCAGCTCGCTCTCCCCCTCGCCGCTGGAGAGAGCATGGCATCCAGGTTGAGCCGTGCGCCTATGTTATGTAACCTGTCGCTTGACATGGCTGGCATGCGATAATTTGAGATGCTGGGCAACGGGCGGGGAGGTTAGCATGCCTGCGGGTCAAGTCAGCATCAACGTGTCCGACAATTTCGGGATGCTGTCTTTTGTCGACACCGACTCGGAGATGGAGCACTCCCACCTGAACAACGCAGGATTTCGCGCTGAGTGGTGAACGGGCGTAATGGAGAGTAGCATTGCAATCCCCTGTCCTTCGTTCTCTTGGTCTTGCGCTCCTCGTTCCAATGCTGTTGCGCTCGTGCCTGCATGCATTGCTGTTTTAGGGCCCTCGACCTTGAATCGCGTGGAGCGCTGCATTTGCACTGCATCCGCAATTTCCTATTGCTCTCCGCTTGTGTACACAGTTGGCACAACATGTCTCGCAGTGAATCCCATGGAGCGCGCGATGACCTGTCGGCTTGGACTCGTCAGCTTGTTGCTGCTGCCGCGGCTGGAGTGCCGAGCGTGGCGCACAGTTCCGACGACCCCCCCCCTGGATTGGCCGACCCAACTGGTGATGTTGCACGTTGCGTGTGATCCTGCCCCAGGGTTCAGTTTGAATCTAACCTCGTGCCGCCCCAGGGCAGCTGGCGTCGATCGCCCCGTCATCCCTGTCAAATAAGTTTACGCGCGTTCTCGTTTATCGCAAAACATCACTTTTTCAAGAAGCCCTGGCGACAAGAGAGGGGCAAAGTCGACGCGCGCGCACTCCGTTGCACGCGCGGGCAGATTTGCTTCAGAAGCTGCCCAGGTCTCGCGCGGGTTGCGAGATTGAGGCTCCCGAATCTTCTGACGATGAACAACATTGGCTTCGGTACTTCTCAGACAAGGTTGCGCGCGCGCCTTTGCGACTTCGCAAAACGAGCCACAGCTTTTTCAAGTGCGCATCGCGTGCGACAGAGCGGGCCTTTCGCGAGCGCATGTCGAAATCATTCACGCGCCTGTTCGCGCTTGCTGGGGGGGGCCGCGATCCTCGTCAATTCGCTCCGTGGGGGCCGCTCGCGCCATCTGCCTCGCGCGCTCGAAGTCATACCAGAACCCTCGTCACCGACGCGCGTGCAACGTTGCCGTCGTCGGCTTGATCGGCGTCGGTGCTGGCGCTGGCCTTGCCGTCGTCATCGTCGTCGTCGTCGCCAGCGTCGCTACTGTCATCGTCGTCTCTGCCGTTGCCGACGTCACCGGGCTGCCGCGTTCGCCCGAGTCGCCGACTCGCGCTGACGTGCCCGCGCGGCAACGCGGCTTGCGAGACGCGCTGGGCTGTCACCAGCGGTGAGCGCCGCCGGGGTCGCGTCGGTCGCGCCAGACTAGCCGGCCGTTCTGCGAGCGAGCATGCGCGCGCCAGCGCGGCCGCGAAGACGCGCCAGCCAGCGCCGAGCAACCGTCGCAATCGCCGCCGCATGGGTGCTGCAAGCTATGTTTCTGGTGGGTGGGTGGGGTGTGCGCGAGCGTCGGTTTGGCGATGTCGTGGAGCTCGCGGCGCGTTGGTGGTAGGTGAATTTTTTATATAAGAACATGGGGATATGCCCCCCCCCCTCGCCTGGACACAACGCCCCCCCCCTCTCTGAATTCAATTTACATATGAGTCTGCCCAATCACGCCAACTAGACCGGTGCCGCCCCCGCCCCTTATCCCTTGCGAAAAGCTATGCGCGCGCTCGTTTAACGCGAAGCAGTAGTTTCGAAAGAGCTCATTCAAACGACGGGACGAAGTGCATGCGCGCGTGTCGTCGCGCGCGCATGCCGGAATCACCCGAAAACTTCAAGTTTCGTAGCGATGTCAAAGACGAGTGCGTTGGAAATCATATTTAGAACACGTGGTTTCACAGCTATAGTTTTCAAGGGAACCTGCGCTCGCGCTCTCGCAGATCTTGAAGCAAACCATCGGTTTGTCAACATTTTCGTCACATGCTGCCAAGCGTGCCTCTCGCGCGCGCATGTCGATCTCGCTCGAGCGCCTTTGCGCGCGTGCTGTCGCGAAAGCCCCTTGCAGCGAATTGGGCGAAGTGCACGCGCGCGCGTTGTCGCGCGCGTGCGGAATTTCTTCGAAACCTTGGGTTTCGCAAGGATGTCAAAATTGAATGCCCCGAAACATATGTGACAAAATGGTTTTGCAGCACCAGCATCCACAAATACATGCGCTCGCGCCCCTGCGAATTGAAAGGGAAACCAAAGGCTTCCAACATTGTCATTGACTTCGGCCAATCGGGCCTCGTGCCGAAATCATTCACGCGCCCTGGCTTGCGTGCTGGGGGGGGGGCTCGGTCCGTGTAGAATGATGCCATGTGGGCCGCTCCAGCGCGTCTGCCGCGCGCGCGTGTCGAACTCGTTCCAAAACCTTCATCGCCGACGCGAGTGAGCCGTCGTCGTCGTCGGCGTGATCGGCGTCGATGCCGTCGCTGGCTTTGCCGTCGTTTTTGTCGTCGCCGCCGTCGTCGCCAGCGTTGCTATTGCCGTCGTCGCGTCTACCGTTATCGACGTTGCAGTGGGGCCGCGCCCGCCCGAGTCGCCGCCGTGGCCGCGTCGTTCTCGCCGAACAAGCTGGCCGCCTCGCGCGCGAGCACGCGCGCTAGCGCGGCCGCGGAGATGCACCAGCCAGCGCCGAGCAGTTATCGCGATCGCCGCCGCTTGGGTTTTGCAAACCAATTTGCGGGCGGGGGTGTGGGGTGATTGCGCGAGCAGTGGAATTGACAATTCGCTGCGAACGGGCGCTGCGTGCACCGCGTAGATTTGTTCAAATAGATGGCGCAACATGTAATGCGCGACATATGTTGCACAACATATATTCGTTTCTGACTGGGGTGTAGACTCCCCCCCCTGGACTTAACGGGCCGCCCTTGGCCCTGTTGTTTGTTGCAATTGACGTGGGATTCTGCCCCGCCGTCCATCTTGAAGAACTCTGGCATCCCGACCGAGCCGGTGATCGCCCCCCTCGCCCCCCGCGAAAATAATTATGCGCGCGCAGTCGTTTATCGCGCGCTATGTATACATGTATGTATGTATGTATATGGGTATGTATGTATGTATGTATGTATGTATGTGTGTATGTATGTATGTATGTATGTATGTATGTATGTATGTATGTATGTATGTATGTATGTATGTATGTATGTATGTATGTATGTATGTATGTTTGTATGTGTGCATATATATATATATATATATATATATATATATATATATGCGCATATTGAAAATCAGTAACAACAGATGGGGCGAATTGCGCGAGCTCGAGTCGTCTCGCGCGTGCCGAATCCATCGACAACTCAGGTTTCGCAAGTATTCTAAAGTTGAGTGCCCGGAGATGCACATGGGAAAACATGGTCTCGCAACGGGAACTTTCACGGTGATCTCGCGCCCGCGCTCTTGCAGAGCCCCGAGCCAAACATAGGGTTTGAATTTTTTTCCTCCTCACTCTACCAAGCGTGCGCGCGCGCATGCCGATCTCGCCCGAGCGCCCTTGCGCGCGTGCTGTCGCGAGGGCCCCCTGCAGTGAGTGGGGCGAAGTGCGCGCGCGCGTTGTCGCGCGCGTGCGGCAATCCGTCAAAAACCGGAGGTTTCGTAGGAGGTTTCGTAGGGTTTAAAAGTCGAGTGCCCCGAAATGCATTTGACAACGCATGTTTTTTCGCAGCGGCGGTTTCCAAATGTGCCTGCGCTGGCGCTCGTGCACTCTTGTTTTGTTTTATAGGAAACCAGAGGTGGCCTCTCGCGCCGCATGTCGAAATCATTCGAACGTCCTTGCGCGTGCTGGGGGTGGGTTGATTCGCGTCGAATAGTGCCGTGCGGTCCTCTCTCGCGCGTCGGCCGCGCGCTCGTGCCGAACTCGGTCCACCGCCCTCGTCGCCGACCCGAGGGCGCCGTCGTCGTCGTCTGCGTGATCAGCGTCGGCGCCGTCGCTGGCCTTGTCGTCGTCGTTGTTATCATCGTCGCCGGCGTCGCTACTGCCGTCGCCCCCCCTGCCGTTGTCGACGTTGCCTTGGTGCCGCGCCCGCCCGAGTCGCCGACTCGCATTGGAGTGCCCGTTGGGAAGTGGCCAGCGGTCGGTGCCGCCGCGGCCGCATCGCCCCCGCCAAACTAGTTGGTCGCTTCGCGCGCAAGCACGCGCGGGCTAGCGCTGCCGCAGAGATGATGCGCCAGCCGGCGCCAAGCGCTCGTCACAATCGCGGCCGCGGGGGTTTTGCAGAACAAGTCGTGGGTGGGCGGGTGGGGTGGTTGCGCGAGCAGTGGAGTTGACAGCTTGCTGCCAACAGAAGTTAGTTGCACCGCGCTGATTGCGCGGCATAGATTGTTCAGCGTCGATCTCGCCACATAAATCGCATCACCTATATTGCGTTGCGTAGATCGCACCGCGCATTTCGCGCCGCCTATACTGCGCTACGCATGCTGCACATGCATTGCGCCGCGCAGTTTTTTTCACCGCGTCGGTTGCACCACATTTCATGCTCACTAGACGCATCATCACATTTTGTATTACGCATGCGGCCCAACATATTGCAGCATCACTGATTGCGCAGCACCTGGTGCACTACATAGAATTCAATGCGTATATTGCTTCGCGCAAGTCCCCCCGCATAGAAGTACCGTATACATGGGCGACCTATTGTGCGCAATATACCGCGCCGTAAAATTCACAGCATATATTGCTTCACGTTGACAGCTCAACTTAGATTGCACCACATGCAATGCACAAGCTGTACTTCACAATGTAGATCGCACGCCGTGGATTCTATAGAAATATAGACTCCACGCCCCGTCGCCGCCAGATTTAACGCCCCCCACGTCGTATTGCAATTGACGAATGTTTCTGTCCCATCGTCCATTATGCATTCATACCATCTTAGCCAAACCAGCAACCCCCCCCCCCCCCTTCCTCATCATCAGCAAGAAAGGAAGAGCATGCGCGCGCGTTCGTTTATAACAAATCGTGCAACGCATGAGATGAAGTGAACGCGCGCGCGTCGCTGCGCGCGCGTGCCGAACACATGTAAAATCATATGGTTGCGCAGCGATAATTTTCAAATCATGCCTTCGCTCGCGCTCTTGTGGGTTCTTCAGCAAACCATCGGGTTTTTCAACATTGTGATCACATGTTACCAAGCGTGTCTCTCGCGCGCGCATATCGAAATCGCTCGAGCGCCCTCTGCGCGCGTGCTGTCGCG